ATGAGGGGCCAACCTAGTTGGCTCAGTCGGAGGAACTTGCAACTCTTGATCTCAGGGTTGTGAGTTGGAGCCCCATGTTGGGTGTAGAGAGTACTTAAAATCTTTTAAAAAGTAATAATAATAATCCTTATGAAATATATGAAAAAGTAAGGTACTTTAAGTGAGGGAAAATCAGGCAACCAAATTTTATTTTCAGTTGGTGATACCTGTTAAAAACCACCTATATGTAGAATGGAATGGTTGGACAATGGGACTATAGACAACTTTATATTTTACTTTACTGCTTTTATATTCTAAAATATTTCAAAAAAACATTTTCTATGACTGTAATGGGAAAAAATAAACTTTTAGGGAAATGTTTATTGCTATGTACACTATACTACGTTATTACAATTGATTTTTAAAAAATAGTTAATACTGTCTTGAGCGTTTATTTTAAAAAAGTAAATTCAGCCAGATTAACATACTGCCCTCAAGAAAAATTGTTGATTCCTTACTTTCATTTTTCATGGGCAAATTTTATTCAAATAGTACTTATTTACTGTGTTTTATAAATAACATATATATAATAGAGTAAGATAGACTAGTCAAACTTAACTTTTACAAAATTAATGATAATTTGTATATAAAAGCAATTAATAAGCAGATCGATATATTTTTATCTTGGCTGAGGGACAGCCTTTTCTTCCTTTCATGACAGTCACTTGGTCATTGTTTTCTTTATGGGTTCCAGTAAGTGAACACTTAAAGCCACTTTCAGGGAAGACATTATGCATCTCTTATTAGAAATTTCATATCATTATTTTCATCCCCAGTAAACTATAAAAGCTTGTTGTTAATCTAAAAATAACAGAATAGAAAACCTAAAAAAAATTGCCTGAACCATGACTGTGTACCAGGTTCTGGTTTATAACTAACTGTATGATTTCTGTTACCATATTTAATTATTCTTATTGAAGAAGTTTAACTGTTAATCTTGTTTCTAGTTTGCCATGTATTGTCTGCTGCTATTTTATAAAGTACTGAAGGAAGAACTGAGTCCAATTCAACCTGTTGGCAAATTTCTTTGTGTAAAGCTGGTGGTTTTTGTTTCCTTTTGGTAAGTGTTGCTTTCTCTTAAATGTTCTTAGTTTCTACAGGGTAATAATACTGTTGACTAGGGAGGATTTTCAAAATGGTCTTAATGTAGAAGATGAATTAAAATGTCTCTACTTACCTTTTAAAAAGTTCATCCTTTTAGCCCTTCTTGGTTTTTCATAAAGAAATAATCAGATAGTTAGCATAACATTTACAAGAAAATAATTTGAGACAATCTAAATGTCTCAACACTAGAGGAATCATTAAAATATATCATGGTCCTTTCACATAAGAGAATAGTCTGCAGTTTGGAAGATAAATATAGAATATTTAATACTGTGAGGTATAATGTTCATTAGTGAAATACATTCTTTAAAGCAGAAGACAAAACTGTTCATGGTCCTAATTTAGTGAAAGAGTGGGTGATAGGGGACCTAGAAACAAATATACTAACATACAAATATGAAAAGGGGAAAAAGAATAATCCTTGAACTCCTTTACCACCCAGAAAGAATAACATTGTGGTACACATAATGTCACATATAAAATTCCACAGAAATGGTTTCATACTATAAAAACTTGTAGAATTCAATGATACATTCAGTATATTGTGTATATAGTTCTTAGTCTATAAAGTGAGGATATAATTTTCTTGTTGTTTGGGTTTGTTTTGTTTTTTGGTTTTGCTAAGTATTCTGTTCTGTGGATGTAACTTTTTAACTAATCTTCTATTGACATTTAGTATGTTCCTGATTTTTTCACCATTACAAGCAATATTGAAGTAAAATTCTTATATGCAGAAATATGAAAACTCGTCTTACTATCTTATTATTAGCTGTCTAAATTTCACCTAGGGTTATATCCATAGATGTGCTTGAAATGTTCAGTGTGACTCCATCTTGGGAGTCTGACACCTTCTGAGTTTGTCTCTAGTTCCAGCACTTCAAACAAGACGGGTTTTAATGTTTTAAAGAATAATCTGGATAATTAAGACAGGTGTAAATAACATTGAAGTATCTGTCCTGTATTTTATTTTAAATGCCTGATATACAAGGTGTTAGGCATTGTTTATGTATAGGAAGCATTTGCTTATACACACTTTCAAAACAAAAAGACATAGAAACCAAATACTGAAGTTACATATATTTAAAAATACATAATGAAAACTCATACAATGAAACTATACTAGAAGAATAAATTTGTAAAGCAAATAAATGTTTTTAATATAGATATATGCTATAATATAATATGCTATGAAGACAGGGTGGTGGTGGTGGTCCACAAGTTGTGAGGGTTAACTTTTTTAAATGGCATATTTGTAAAACAACTGCTCATTTTATGCTTGATATAGATTTGGCGTTTACCTTTTCCTAACATATAGGCAAGCAGTAGTTATTGCTTTGTTGGTTAAAGTTGGCGTTATTTCTGAAAAGCATACATGGGAATGGCAGACTGTAGAAGCTGTGGCTACAGGACTCCAGGTTAGTGCTATCTGTGAATTTAATATGATTTTACTATTTACCCATTTTACATATTATCTCTGAAACCTGACAACAAGCAGGCTGTGGGGCTACTATTCTCACTTCACAAATGAGGAAACAGGGAAGTGTAGGGAAACTAGCCATCATCACTCGTGGTAGAGCCAGGAATAGAACCTAGAATTTGTTTTTCCTTCTTTCTCTGTGCATTTGTCTTTAGTCCTTGGGCAGTGGATTGAGAATGCACTGTACTTTAAGATATACTTGATTGGGGAGTATAAAGGAGGTTTAGATTTTTGCCATTTTGCCTTTTCTTTTTTTTTTGAGGCCAGAGACAGTTATTTTGGAAAATGAGTATAATATGGGGAAAAACAGATGTCAATACTTAAATACTTTTTGAAAAGAAAGATAGTGCTTTTATTTACAAAACTAGATTTAAGCTCAAAGATGGCTGATGTTTTTGTTGCTGTTGTTGTTGTAGGACTTTATCATCTGTATTGAGATGTTCCTTGCTGCTATTGCTCATCACTACACTTTCTCATATAAACCCTATGTCCAAGAAGCAGAAGAGGGCTCATGCTTTGATTCCTTTCTTGCCATGTGGGATGTTTCAGATATTAGGGATGATATTTCTGAGCAAGTAAGGCATGTTGGTAAGTACCAGCCATTTCATTCATCCAAACAGGTTATTGGAGTTCTCATACTAGGGCAATTTTGTAGCTATTTTTAAGAGATGAAAAGACTGTTTAAAGCAGTACCAGTAAAATTGGGGGTGGGGAGGTGGAACTTATTTTTAGCATGGTAAGTTTATAGTGATAAAAATAACTTTTGGCTAATTTGAAAACCTTTCTATTACTTTAAAGGGAGGACAGTCATGGGACATCCTAGGAAGAAGTTTTTTCCTGAGGACCAAGATCAAAATGAACATACAAGCTTGTTATCGTCATCATCACAAGATGCAATTTCTGTTGCCTCTTCTGTACCACCTTCACCCATGGGTCATTACCAAGGGTTTGGACACACTGTGACTCCCCAGACTACGCCTACTATGGCTAACATACCTGATGAAATGTATAATGACACTACAGGAGAGAAAAATGAGCTTTCAGATAAATCTGTGGCCTCCTGAACAAGTGTGCAGAAGCAAACTATGCTCCTTCTACCATGTTATTTCATCACTTGGTATCCCATTGCTCAGGATTTTGTGCTTGGGACAAGCCATAAATGATGGAAAGTTTTCAACACAAAGAAGGTGAGAAAGCCAGGTACAACTACTGGATTTATATAACTGAGTTTTGTATATCACAAATAATCAGTCTAAATATCCTAGACTTAGACTTGATTTCTTAACATTAGAGTATCACATACTCAAATGGTAGAAAATGACTCTACTAAATGTTCCTGGTGTTACACTGCTTTATCAAGAGGATGGACATTAAAAAAAAAAAAAAAATCAATGCTTCTACCACTGCTGCATGAATAGAACGCTCTGGAATTTAGCAGAAAGTATAATTTGGAAACACGAATTAGTGGAACTTAATCATGTGCCATATATGCCTACCTAACAATTATTTCTCTATTTCTCAACTGGATGTCTTTCAATAAATAAGAATTTATCATTTATTTTCTGCAATTTTTTGTCTCTCATTACTTCAACATAAACTCTTAATGTTTTTTTTCAAAAAGTTCTTGATTAGAGGCACAGCAAAAAAGAAATAAGTGCAAAAAAATTAAAGATTAAAGATTACACACCTACAATGAAGGATACCTATATCTTCTATTCCTTTTAGAAGAAATAGGACCTAATATAAATCTTAAAACAACTACTATCTAAAAATCTTATTTGCAACACTACTAAGAGATTAATAAGTTATCCATGATTTTCAGATGAAAAGAATAAACTGGATAGAAGATTGGGAGGATAAATAAGAAACTTATTGGGCATCTGGGTGGCTCAGTCGGTTAAAGCATCCGACTTCGGCTTAGGTCATAATCTCATGGTTCACGGGTTTGAGCCCCACATCGGGCTCTGTGCTGACAGCCCAGAAACTGGAGCCTGCTTCGTGGATTCTGTCTCCCTCTCTCTCTGCCCCTCCCCCATTTGTACTCTGTCTCTCTCTAAAATAAATAAAACATTAAAAAAAACTTATGATAACAATGGAGTCTACTTTTCCTCAATGCTGTCACAGGTGTCAGCAAATAAATCTAGGCTGAGTAGTCTTAATTATTCATTAAACCATAGTCAGAAGACATGTAGGTGCTATTTGGGAGACACTTCTTACTTAAGATGGAGTTTCTCAAATTGCTAATCACAACCAACTGGGTTATATACTGCAAATAAAATCTAGAAAGTGCCATAGTATGTTACAAATAGCAATAAATGTTATTTCTCAAAATCTTTGCTTTATATATTTATGCACACACACATTCACATACATGCACTGCTTCACCGTAATTGGAGTCTTTATTCTGTCCACTATTATAAACATTTCTATTGAAAGTAAAGCTGGGTAGTATAATACTAGAGCAACGAGAAGAGGCGATGTAGAGAGAAGGTATGTCTTATTTTCTTTGTGGCTTACTTACAAAGAGCACACAGTATTTACAAGGCACATCTTATTAATCTTCCTGTTGCAAGTCTTTAAAAATTGGACCAATTATTATATATTTCTTACTGCACATATGGATCAAAACTTTAAAAAATACTGATGTAGGTTTACCTCATTCCTGAACTTACCAGCTTTTTCATTTTCTTTGCCAAAGTAGACCAGGAAAAAGGCTGCCTCTTTAAAACTTTACTTCATCCTTAACTCTTTAACTCTCATAATTAGATTTAGCTTATAGCTATAAATTCTTACTCAGGTTTGCATTCTCCAAACACAAAACCCAAGGAGTTTCAGAAACATACTAAGTATTTAAAAGAAGCAAGCTTGGAATTTATAAGTAACCATAACCCTGTCTTCAACTGAAGCCAACTTTCTGATATATCCCAATTATAAGTTTAGACTTAAAAAACTCAAGATGCCTAAAAAATTAAAAGTTTTTGCTTTGCTTACACAGGACAATGAAGACGGGACTCAAATCCCTTATATTTATAGATTTAGAATGTAGACTAAAGTGTTTAGGAAAATTGAACCCATTGTAAGTACAACCAAGCAATAAAAACAAAGCTTACTTACTTGAAAAATGAATGACAGCCTTTTTGAAAAAAGAAGGCTGCAGCAATATTTTTATAATAACGCTCCTCTTTAAAGTCTTTTAAATATACTTTATTAATCAATTTAAAAAATATTTAACCATTACAAGGAATTAAATCTTTATACCCCCATTTCATGAATACAATTCCACTACTAATTCAGACCAGAACTGCATACTTGCTGCTCTACCTGAACAGTTTTTCATTAGAAAACTACTCTTCATTGTTTTACTGTGATGCTGACATTGCTTTTGTGATGCTGGACACTGAGTACTAATTCTTCTCCCATTTCCACCTGGATGGGATTATCTAATACAACTGCAGCTTGTTTCCAGTGGGAGGCTTCACTTGAAGTATCCAACCTAATCTCGTCATCAAGGTACATATGATACCAAAAGGGAATGGCAGTCACTTGTCCAGATTTACAAATGTGTACCTATGAAAATTAAGAAATTATGAAAATTTCATCAGAGTAAATAGAACAGAGTTGAATAAGTAAGACTTGTCTTTTTAGTCAATTTTAGCTCCAAGTTTTATAAAGATTTAATCACCCAATCCAAATATCAACCTATTTTATTCACTAGTATTTACCAAGCTCATTTTTGAATATTGTTTAGAAAAAAAACCTAACATTTAAATCTTCAAAGAAAGTGACTAATACTATTTTGTGTATATAAAGTATTACCTAGCTTAAGAAAATTCTGACTATGACAAGAATAATCATTTTGTATTACCTTTACTTCTCTGTTAGAGGTGTTCAAATATGGAGTCATTAAATCTAGTCTTAAGAGTTCCACTGGCTTGCTTAAAGGTATACAGGGCAATGAGGACAGATCCAAAAATACACGTATAGGTACCTAGAAAAAGTACAAATTTTTCACTTTTACTCAATTCTTTCTGTGGCCCAATGACCCTGAAGTGCTTACTTTGTACTTGCATCAGTATGATACAATGCTTTTTACACCTAATATCTCATTTAATTTAATTCCCATATCAATCTTAAGGCATAAGGATTTTCATGATTCCAGTTTTATAAGAAGGATGAACAAACCAAGGCTTAGGCAGGTTACATAATTTGTTATGGTTTCAATTATCTATGAATTCTTTTCTTAGATGAAAGCAGATTAAATTTTTACTTAAGCCAAATAGCTCCAAAAATTTTAAACACAGATGTGCTTATGTGTGAAAGATGAACTAATTAGCAAATAGTACAATATTATTGTACTGTTTGAGAAAATACCAAATAATAGTGGATTTCATTTGTAAAATAAAGTTTAATTCTAGAAAGCAATGTTTCCCAACTTCGGCTGCAAGTTAAAATCACCTAAAGAGCTTTTTAAAAGCCTCAACTGCTCAGGCCATACCTCAGATCAATCTGGAGTTGGGAGCCAAGTATCGATAGTTCTGAAAGTTCAGTCAAGGTTGAGAGCCACTGCTATAATGTGTTCCATCAATTTTAGCAGCAATAGAACCTTCCTACCAGTAACTTTAGCCTCTTCAATTTGAAACAGAAAGGAAACTGTTGTTTTAAAAGTGCCCTCTTTCCTTTGAGTAAAATATTAGCAACTGTTCATGGTGAAACAATGGACACAGATATACCAACCTCTTCCTGGGCATCCTGAAGGCATCCAAGCTTCCCTCACCATAAAAACAGCAATTCCATGCCATTTCCAAGACTGATTATGCCCTTTACCCTCAGTTGTATCAGTCACCAGAAGAAGCCCTAAATTCCTTTGTTACCTCTCATCACATGCACTCTACTCCTTCATAGCCTGTCCTCACTTCTATTTCTCAACCCAGCCCACTGGCCATCCCTGTCATCTGTGTTAATTCTTCGCACATTTCCCATCTAGAGCTCATTATTTCATGAGTTCTCTAGAGTTCAGTTCTCTCTATATACGCCCAAGGTGATTTCACTCAGACTTAGGGCTTTAAATATCACCTACCACATTTTATCTCTAGCCTGTATCTTTCTCTGAATTCTTATAAATGATCCTGCAAACACATAAATGCAACCTAATCCTCCTGCTATTTTCCCCAAATCAGTAGATGGTAACTATCCTTCCAGGTGCTCTCATTACCCACATCCAATCTATCACACAATGCACCTTCAAGTATGTCTACAGTTGGAACTCTGCACCGTCTCCACACTGCTATGACTCACTCCTAAGTCACTTACCTGGATTACTGCAATAATGCCTTTGCCTGCTCTCACAAGTGGCTTACTTCTAACCCCTTAACCATAGTAACCCTTTCAAAACAAGATATCTCATGTCACTCCTCCACGTGTTTTCCACCCTTTTCATAGTAAAAGTCTTCCTATGACCAAAAGGGTCTATAATATCTGGTTCCTAATACTTTTCTGACTGCATCTTTCATCTGACTCACCTCATGGTATCTTCCTGCTGTTTCTGAACACTCCAATCATGCTCTTGCCTCAGGCCATTGCATTTGTTGATCCTTTGACTTATGATTTGCTTCCTTATTTCTTCAGCTCCCTGCTTAACTACCACTTAGCCATGAGTCCTTCCCTTAGTCATTACCTATATGAAACAGTATATATCACATACCCCCCATTCCCTGTATTTCTTAACCTGCTTTATGTCCATAGCACTTCTAACCATCTATCATACTAATCTTTTTACTTGTTTATTATCTATTTCTTGTTTGCCAATTTGAGTGCTAGCTCCATGAATGCAGGAATTTATCTCTTATTTTCCTAGGCCAGTAAAAAAACAGAAGAGAAGGGATATGAAAAGTATACAGACCATGAATACAAACTATTAAGGAAGGGAGGATATAAGACAGGAAGTACAGTGAAAAGATGGCAAGGTCAAAATTTAATAGATTCTGATGGGACCAAAGAGTTGCTTGCTGATCAAGAGGGAATAAGCTAGAAAGAAAGGAGATGGTGGTATTTTTGAACCACACAAACAATTTAAACTTCTGTCTTCTTTTTTTTTTTAAGTTTATTTATTTTTTTAGTAATCTGTGCACCCGATGTGGGGCTTGAACTCACAACCCCAAGATTATGAGTCACACACTCCTGCAACTGAGATAGCCAGGTGCCCCTAAACTTCTGTCTTCTGATAAGTGTATTCTCCTTATTAAACTTGCAAAAAATCTGAGATTAAACAAACTCTAAAACTTGTTAGCCAGCCCTGAAAAAAGCATTTTCTCAAGAAACTTATATTTGCTAAGTACTGTTCACATGAGATCTAACTGCATCTTCAAGGGTTTACTATGTATAGCCTTCAAATAAAAGTTTTAGATATCACTTCTTGAATTCTGTACCCAAATCCTACTTCCCAAAAATTCAGCTTTGGTTTACACATCAGTATCGCATCAGTAGGTACTTCCTGCCTCTGTCTTCAACCCAAACTTCTTCCCCTAGACATTCTATCCACTCACACAATTTTAATCCGCAAATCTGTATTCTGCTAATACCTTTGCCAGCACTAGATCTTGACTCCTTGTTTCCCAAATAGCAACTAAACCCTTTGCCTTGCGCTCCAGTTTCCTAGGCTCCTACATTCTTACCCACAGCAGTCTGACTGTGTATACACTAGCTGCTTACATCTATCACCTGCCAGCCTGAGGTTTCAATGTAATAAAGGGTTCAAGTTTGGAACACAGGTCTTTTTCTGACTGCTTCTGCTTTAGACAAGAAGTACACTTTTTCATAAGACTAAACCTAGTACCCTATTTTCACTTAGTGGTTCAGAAGAATATCTATAGACTTTTGTCAATAGGAACAACAGAATTCCTTGGCGATTCTAATCGCTATGTTGATTTTCACTCATAAATTCCTTTGCTCTAGGAAACTGATTACCATCCTGATCCAGCTAAACACAGTGACTGTATTAAACTATGGAGAAAGATAAGGTAGATGGTGGGTAACAGCCACCTGATGGAACTTCTCTTCTAAACACTTACCTGAAACTGATTAATAAAAGGTGCTATATTCAATCCAAGAGTGCGTTCTGTTCCTTGAACAGCACTCTCTTCTACCAGTGTCTGTGATTCCACAAGCAACCCAAACATCAACACATATTGAGGAAAGATCTTGCCTCCAGATTGCAGCAAACACCTAGAGAAGGAAAAATGTTTTAAAAATCATCTTGATTCCCTACATTTTATAAATACCATAACTAATTCATAATGAATTGGTAAACTACAGATTGTACCTAATCTAATAGACTCTATGTTATTGGCTGGTTGTTCAGAGTGATAAACCACTGGAAATAATTTCCCAAAAAGTCAAAGTGGCCGCTGATCCATGAAAGAGAAAAACAACCAGTTGGCTTGATGGATATAAGTCTTTAGATTCAGGAAGAGTAATCAATGGATATTAAAACTAGTGGGTGAAAGTTTTATTTGGAAAAAGATATTTACATCGTCTCCAAGTACCGTCCCCACAAATGGCTTACTAGTTACAAAGGGAAAAACAGCAACTTACTATGGAAAAACCCAGTGAATACAACTTAAAACACACTGACCTAAATTAATATCAACAATCATGGGATAAAGCAATACTATATGCCTCCTAATGTGACAAAACTTCTGTGAGGAAAACTGAGGAAGACTGGGGAGAAAAAAAGGAATATAGGATATTACTGGGATAGGAAAATGTTTAATATAGACTATATGTTAAATAATAGTATCTTTATCAATGTTAAGTTTCCTGAATGTGATTTTATTGTGATATGTAGGGAAAAGCCTTTGTTCTAAGGAGATACACGCTAAATGTTAAACCGTGAAGGTTAAAAGACAAAACAATAGTCTTATGTTCATTGTTACTATTCTTGCAATTTTTCTTAAGTTTGAAATTTTGAAATATTTCAAAATAAAAAGTTGATGGAAAACTTTATAAGTAAACAGACTGCTCTTGTAACAGCTCTCCCTAAAGATTAGGTCATTGGAAGCCAAGTCATAACTGGGTCATTTGATGAACATGGAATCAGCAAGAGAAGTTAGAGAGGATTCCTAAGTATAATGCCATTAGACTGAGACAAGTCATGATCCTAAACCAAGACAATCTCTCTTCAGTAAATAACTATAAGTACATCATCATTTACATTGTAGTAAGTCCTACATATTATATAGATCAGCCTAAAAAAGGACTTCACAGTACTTTGCTCATTTTTGTTATTGCTTTCCTATCAACTTCTAGTATTTTAGGTAAAGTCTAGTAGAAATTAATCTCTATAATTAATAAAATTACACAGCTCTTAACAAAATTCCTGTCTATGTCTTTACCAAACCAGAAAAAAATGTGTCTTCCTAAAAAACTGGAGAAATCTACCTGTTTTGCTCAAATGGATCAGGTTTATTCCTGATAATTCATGGCACTAATTTTTCTGAAAAAATGATGAAGTTATCTCTAATTGTGATCCATTTAAATAGAGCCAGATATAATCACTCTTAAGATCACAATTTCTCAAATGACAGACCAGCCACAGAGCTTTATGCTCTTGACTAAATTCCCCCCATCCCCAGTAACCACAAGAGGGTACTGTTCTATGAAATTCGCAAGCTGAAAAAGCACATAGGGTTAGAAGTCAACCTTCTAACCATAAAAATCTATGGGGAAAAGGAAGGGAGGGCATTACATCAAATCATTTCAGAAAATTGGACTAAACAAAATATCAAAATTTTATCTTCTGAACCCTAAAAAGTCAGAACAGGCTGACTAGAGTACTAACAACTGTGCTAGAGATAAATACTATACACAAAGGCAGTATATGATAATTATTTTAAAAGACCATGGTCATACTATTTTAATCTAAGATGTTATACAATGGGGCACCCGGGTGGCTCAGTTGGTTAAGCGTCCAACTTCGGCTCAGGTCATGATCTCACAGTTTGTGAGTTCGAGTCTCGCATCGGGCTCTGTGCTGACAGCTCTGAGCCTGGAGCCTACTTCAGATTCTGTGTCTCCCTCTCTCTCTACCTCTCTCTGCCTCTCTCTCTCTCTCTGTCTTTCTCTCAAAAGTAAATAAACATTAAAAAATTTTTAATATAAATAAATAAAATGTCACACAAATCCTTAACTCAATATTACTGTCACTAACAGGAATGCTCCTTAGTTATGTTTAGATAAAAGAGTAATTGCCTTGAAACTCTGCTTAGCTTTACTGACACTGTTTTGTTGTCACTTATACCACTGCAGCTGCCAGACTCCTCGATGGACCCTCTGCAAAGCCAAATAATACTTCTGAACCATCTGTGCCTTCAGCAGTGAGAAAATACGTTCCAACTCAAAAGTCTAACCATAAATGGCAAAAATTTCTGAAGAAACTCTTCAGTTTCCTTGTGACCCAACACAAGATGTTTTTAAATGCGTTTTAAATTAAAAAAAAAAAAAAGTACCAAGCTTTTAAACTTCTTCCTGTCTTTTAATCTAGTATGACTGAGCAAAGTCTAAGAATGAAGATTTTAAAACAATGACTACAAAGAAAGGTAGCTAGAATCTAAATATTTAAGTCTGTGAAATGGCTCATTTTCCCTTGCCTTGTTTGGGGGTGCTCAGAGGAGTTCTAGTGAGACAGATGCCCTTATCCCAGATATAACTTCACCCTCTTTCACCAGTCATGAGACCTCCCCTCTGTTAAACACTGACCACACAGGAGGCCTGTGTGAGAAGTATCTGCATACCTCTGTCCCCAGAACCAAGATAAGCCCGTCCATTCAGGTAAGGAGATTGAACAATAGCTTGGGCTGAAGGAAAGAAGCACTGGTTCTTCACTGTTACTCAGGAGGTAGGTATTTGGAGGGGAGGGAACACTGGTTAAAACAATAATCATGGGCACTACTAGCATTTAGTGACCAGAGGTGCCAAACATTCTGCAATCCATAGGACAATCCTATATAAGAAAATTAAACCAAAACTGTCCCACCCAAACTTCCAATAGGACACCCGCCCCAACTAAGAAACACCAGGAAAAGGAGTTGGTAGCTTTATATAAGATGTTTCCCACTAATATAACTAATCATTCAGACAGAACACACTGCTCAATTGTTTTTATAACCAAACATGCTTTTTAAAAATCCTTTAAAGGTTACATTTAAATAAAATGTGACTGACTGAACGCTTTTCCACTAAAGATCAGGAACAAGAAAAGGACATCCACTTTCATTACTTCCATTCAATGTAGTCACTGTAAGTCCTAGGTGAAGCAATCAGGCAAGAAGAATAAAGGGCATCAAAGCTGGAAATGAAGAAGTAAAACTATCTCTGTGCATAAACAACATTATCATATATGTAAAAGCCTCTGAAGATTCCACATAAAAATATTACACTAATTAATTCAGCAAAGTTGCAGGACATAAAACCAACACACACAAATTAGTGGTATTTCTGCAATTAATATGAACAACCCAAAAAGGAAATTTAGGAAACAATTTCACTTTCTATAGCGTCAAAGTAATAAAGTACTTAGGAATAAACTTAACCAAGCAGGTGGAAAAGACCTGTAAACTGAAAACTATAAACATTGCTGGAAGAAATTAAAGAAGACACAAATAAATCAAAAGACATCCCACATTCATGGACTAGAAGAAAATACTGTTGCTACCCAAAGTGAGCTACCCAAAGTGAGCTATACAGATTTAATGCAGTCCCTTTCAAACCCCAACAGCATTTTTTACCAAAATAGAAAACCCCATCCTAAAATTATATGGAATTTCAAGGGATCCAGAATAGCCAAAACAATCTTGAAAAAGAACAAAGTTGGAAGTTTTATACTTCCTGATTTCAAAACTTACTACAAAGTACAGGGAAAATGACCATATAAATAAAATGGTGGAAAAGGAAGCCTCAGATTCACCTCTTCCCACAGAGACACTTACTTACCCAAAACTGCACAGACTAGGGGCACTTGGGTGGCTCAGTCAGTTAAGCATCTGACTCTTGGTTTCAGCTCAGGTCACGATCCCACAACTTCTGAGTTCGAGCCCCACCTTGGGCTCTACATTGGTAGTGTGGAGCCTGCTTGAGATTCTCTGTCTCCCTTTCTCTCTGCCCCTCCCCCACCTGAGCTCTCTGTCTCTCTCAGAAATAAACATGAAAAAAAAAAAAAAAAAAAAAAAAACTAAAAAACACACAGACTAAACTGTTTCTGTGAGATACCTAGAAACTAGTTAAGCGGTTCCTGTACTCCAAGCCAGTACACGGCCAGAAAGAATTATATGGAAGGTGATGGGAAAGTGTATCACATTTACTTGCCACAGTCCCCAGCTACAGCACAGTACAATCAAGAGACAACCCCCAATTCCCAGCTTCTTGTTGGGGAGAGAAACAGAAGAAATGGAACATACATCCAACACTATGACTTTTGGGAGTGCTGCCCAAGGAACTGGTTTCTGTCTCACATGAAATCTAAGTGACAAAAAATGGGCACCAGGCTGGGCCCTCTGGTAGATTACAAAGGCGATCACTTGGCTTAAAGACCAGAGAGTCTGCAGTTCCACAGACAGTCATCAGGGTGAGCTCTGGTACTATAACTTGCTATAGCACCAAGGGAGCTGCAGTACTTCAGACCGATACTAGGGGAGCTCCTGAGGAGAAACCAGCAAGACTTCAACTAGCTGACACACAAAAGCCCCAAAGAAGCTACATGCCCAGAAAAGGCTTGCGAGGTCTTCAGAATCTCTAGTCAGGCTGAATGGTAAAGGTCCTCCCTGTACAAAGCCTCCCTGTACAAAAACTGAGAGAGATGAGGCGTTCTTCTAAAAGCTCAAGTCCTAACAAAAGTTAACGTGGCATACAAACACGGAAACATGGCCTAATCAAAGGACATTAAATATCCAGAAATTGACCCTAATGAAACAGATACAAGAATTAAAATTAACTATCATTAGGATGCTCAAATAAATGAAATGCAGAAAATGATGCATAGAGAATATCAACAAAGACATAGAAACTATAAAAAAGAACCAAACAAATTGTGAGCTGAAAAATAACTGAATTGAACATTTTACTAGTGGGATTCAACAGAGACTTGACCAGACATAATGATCAAATTCAAAAACAGACAAATGAGACTACAACAAACTTAAAAAATTCTGCACATCAAAGGCCTAAAGGACACAATCAACAGAGTGAAAAGGCAACCTATGAAATGAGAGAAAATATCAGTAAATCATGTATCTCATAAGGGGTTAACATCCAGGATATATAACAAACTCCTATAACTCAACTACAGCAAAAATCCGATTAAAAAATGGGCAATGGACTTCAATAGGCAGTTCTTGAAAGAAGATATAAAAATGACCAACAACAATATGCAAAAATGCTCAATATCACTAATCACAAGAGAAATGCAAATCAAACCATAAAACATGAGCCTACACCCATTAGGATGTCTACTATCAAAAGAACAGAAAATAAACAAATGTTGGTAAAGATGTGGAGAAACTGGAATCCTTGTGCACTGCTGACAGAAATGTAAAATGGTACAGCCATTATAAAAAAGATTCTGGAGATTCCTCAAAAAATTAAAAATAGAATTACCATATGACTCAGTTAATTGCACCTCTGGATATATATCAAAAGAACTGAAAGCAGGGGTGCCTGGGTGGTTCAGCTGGTTGAGCATCAGACTCTGGATTTCGGCTCAGGTCATGATCTCATGGTTTGTGAGTTCCAGCCCGGCATCCCTGCTTGGGATTCTCTCTCTCTCTCTCCCCCTCTCTCTGTCCCTCCCCTACTTGCACTCTTCCTCTCTCTCTCAAAGATAAATAAATCAACTGAAAAATCAACTGAAAGCAGAATCTCAGAGATTATTCACAGTAACTAAAAGGTAGAATAACTCAAGTGTCCATCAATAGATTTATATAGTGGAATATTATGCAGTTTAAAAAGAAGGAAATCCTGTTACATGTTACAACGTGGGTGAACCTCAAGGACATTCTGGTAAGTGAAATATATCAGTCACATAAGACAAATACCATATGATTCCACATATGAAGTATCTAAAGTACTCAAAATAATACAAAATAGTAATAGAAATTAGAAAGATGGTTGCCAAGGGCTTGTGGGGTGAGGGGAATTAGTGTTTTATGGTTATAAAGTTTCAGTTTTGCAAGATGAAAAAGTTCTAGAGACCTATTGGTTACAATGTGAAAATACCTTAGTACTACTTAGCTGTATACTTAAAAATGGTTTAGATGCTAAATTGAATGTTTCCCACATAAAAAAAGAATTAGTTACTTAAAAACAAACTTATTATGAAGCTACAGTAATCAAACCAGGATGGTACTGGCATAAAGGGAGACAGGTAGATCAATGAAACAATTCAAGAGCTCAGAAATAAACCTTGACATATACGGTGAGATGATTTTTGCCAAGAGTATCAAGAGCATTCGATGTGGAAAAGACAGTCTTTTCTATTAACAGTGTTTGGAAAACTGGATATCCACACTCATAAGAGTGAAGCTGGGCCCTAACTATATACCATATACAAAAATTAAGTTAAAATGGATCAAAGACCTAAATGTAAGACCTAAAACTATAAACACTCTTAGAGAAAACATGAGAGAATAGTTTTAGGCCACAGAATCTGACAATAATTTCCTGGATATCAAACCAAAAGCACAGGCAACAAATTTAAAAAAAAAAAAAAAGTGGACTGTATAAAAATTTAAATTTCTGCACATCAAAAGACACTTTCAGGGCACCTCAGTTAAGCATCTGACTTCAGCTCAGGTCATGATCTTGTGATTTGTGGGTTTCGGCACCACTTCAGGCTCTGTGCTGACAGCATGGAACCTGGAGTCGCTTCAGATTCTCTGTCTCCCTCTCTCTCTCTGCCCCTCCCTGCCCCTCTCAAAAATAAACATTAAAAAAACAAAAAGATACTTTCAATAAAGTAAAAAGGCAACCAACCCACAGAATTGGAGAAAATATTTGTAAATTATCTGATAAGGAATTAATATCCAAATACATAGAGAATTCCTAAAAATCAAAAAAAAAAGTCTGACTCAAAAATTGGCAAAGAACTTGAAAAGACATTTTTCCAAAGAAGATATAAAGACAGCCAATACGCACTTATTTTAAAAAGCTCAACAGGGGCGCCTGGGTGGCGCAGTCGGTTAAGCGTCCGACTTCAGCCAGGTCACCATCTCGCGGTCCGTGAGTTCGAGCCCCGCGTCAGGCTCTGGGCTGATGGCTCGGAGCCTGGAGCCTGTTTCCGATTCTGTGTCTCCCTCTCTCTCTGCCCCTCCCCCGTTCATGCTCTGTCTCTCTCTGTCCCAAAAATAAATAAACGTTGAAATAAAAAGCTAAACAACACTAATTAATAGGGAAATGCAAATCAAAACATTAAGACATCATCTCCCACCCAGTAGGATAGCTACTACCAAAAAAAAAAAAAAAAAAAACCAGAAAATAACAAGTGCTGGTGAGGATTTAAACCCTGTGTACTGCTGATGGGAATATAAAACTGTACATCAACTGTGGAAAGCAGTATAGCAGTTGCTCAAAAAATTAAAACTAGAATTACCATATGATCCAGCAATTCCACTTCTGGGTATATACCCAAAAGAATTTCAAGCAGGGTCTGAAAGATATTTGCATTCTCATGTTCATTATTATTGTTATTCACAATAGCTAAAAGGTGGCAGTAACTCAAGTGTCCATCAATGAATGAATAAGCAAAATGTAATATATACATACAATGCAATATGATTCAGCCTTAAAAAAAAAAAAAGTTCTGACACATGCTACAACATGGATGACCCTGGAGGACATTATTCCAAGTGAAATAAAGACAGTAACAAAAATATAAATATAGTATGGTTCCAGTCATATGAGGTCATAAGAGTACTCAAACTCATAGAAGCAGAGACTAGAATCATGATTGTTAGCTGCTGGGGAGAGGATGGAATGGGGAGTTATTGTTTAATGTGCATAAGGTTTCAGTTTTACAAGATGAAAAGAGTTATGGGGATAATTGAAGGTGATGATGGTTGCATAACATTATGAAAATATTTAATATCACCAAACTGTACATTTAAAGATAGTTAAGATGGTAAATTTTATGTTATGTGCATTTTACCACAATAAAAAAAAATTGAAAAAGAATTAAAACTGAAGATAAAATAAACCATTAGGTAAAGTGTCTTTCTAAATAAGTCAAACTTCATTTGTGTTAAAAATTCATAGAGCTGAAATTCCTTCCAAGGTGGCTAATGCAATATCCTTCATTTTACAGATGAGGAAAACTGAGGATGAGAGTCTATATTGTGATTTATAGAAAATTTCACTAGGGGTGCCTGGGTGGCTCAGTCGGTTAAGCGTCCGACTTCAGCTCAGGTCACGATCTCACGGTCCGTGAGTTCGAGCCCCGCGTTGGGATCTGGGCTGATGGCTCGGAGCCTGGAGCCTGCTTCCAATTCTGTGTCTCCCTCTCTCTCTGCCCCTGCCCCGTTCATGCTCTGTCTCTCTCTGTCTCAAAAATAAATAAAACGTTAAAAAAAAAAATTTTTTTTTAAAAAAAAGAAAATTTCACTACTTCAGGAATTCATTAACAAATGTGAGACTAGCTCTGAACCCTTTAAGCACCATGTTCTGGGGCGTCTCGGTGGCTCAGTGGGTTAAACAGCCGACGTTGGCTCAGGTCATGATCTTGCGGTCAGTGAGTTCAAGCCCCGCGTCGGGCTCTGTGCTGACAGCTCAGAGCCTGGAGCCTGTTTCAGATTCTGTGTCTCCCTCTCTCTGACCCTCCCCCACTTCATGCTCTGTCTCCTCTGTCTCAAAAATAAATAAATGTTAAAAAATTTTTAAAAAGTCGGTTAAGCACCACGTTCTAAACTATCGAGTATATCTGCTTAAAATTTTATGTGCATGTATGTATGTATTTGTGTCAAATCTCTGTATCCCCATAATTTGTGATACGTACAAAACTGTTTTGAAGAAAAAAAAAAGGTGGTGATTTTTATTTGTTACTCCATAAGAAGAGTTTGGTTAACAAAAGAAAATGTATATAGAACCTAAAATATAATTACCCATAGAATCAAACACTTTTTCCAGGTTTTGTCAAATGTTTTTTTCTTCAATAGATAATCTGCCTTTGCTATTGCAATCTGGTCTGTATTCCCACCGCTTTTCCTATACTACAAAACAACCCATATATATACCACAAAATTCAAAATCTGTTAACATTCATTTTACTCAAATTTGGATCCCCAAATGTTAAATATTGCCATCTTTTCAGATCTGAGCAGCATGACCAAAGGACTTTGAAGCTTAGCCAAATTTGCTTTCAGTATTAAATATTAGGGTCAAGTTTGCCTCCAGCAACAACACTGAAGGGAAAATCTCTTAGGGAGATAACTGTACTATAAAATAAAGATTTTAAGACCTAAGAGGACTGGGATTGTTCATAAGAAGCACTCTGCTCAGGGCACCTGGGTGGCTCAGTTGGATGAGCATCTGATTCTTGATACCTGCTCAGGTCATGATCTCACTGTTTGTGAGACTGAGCCCTGAGTCAGGTTCTGTGTTGACAGTGTGAAGCCTGCTCGGGATTCCCTCTCCCTCTTTCTCTGCCTCTCCCCCACTTATGCACACACACACTCTCTCAAAATAAACATTAAAAAAAAAATTTTTTTTTAAAGAAGCACCCTGCTCTCCCAACATATCATCAACTGTGTATTATGTATCTCTTAAAGATACGTCTCATTAAGATGTGATTTGATTTTTCCTTATTTACCCTAAATGTCTTATCTGTTCTTATAGATCTCTACTTAATTCTCTATATCATACATAGACAGTCCAATCTCAAAGCAGGCTCTCTTCTTCACACCTACAGAGCAGGGATTCCTTTAGACCAAAAACAACGAGTAATGACATGCACACAAAGAGAAAGGCATAAAGTCACATGTCCTGAAAAGCAATGCTTAGAACATACTATGATCATAACTCATCTGTACAGTTATGCCACTGAAGAACTAAACCAATTTATATTAATTTAAGCTCAAAATACAAAAGTTGCATTTTGTGTTTTACCTGGATATTGCAGCTTTTTCCATTATTTCCTGCTGAATGAGCCCAGATGGCTCAATGACATCCAGTATAATTATACTCCACAACTTGTCTGATTTTGGCCTTTGCAACACAGCAGATTCATCTTCCACGTGTCTCAGCCAAAACTCAAGTGTTTCTTTAGGAAAGTGATTGGCTTCAGATATGAGGTCCAGAGTTATACGATGTTGGTCTTTCTCCACAGAACTGTAAGGTTTAACCTGCCCAAGTGTGCCAGCAATTATGGGCAGAATGGAGAAGCCTTCGGAAACATCTAACACATAGAATGGTTCAGGGATGCTCTCTTCTGAATTACTCTGTCCACTTCCACAGCTCATCTCATTATTCTGGCAGTGAGTATCCATGGCCTGACACAGTTTCTCTGGAGTCAATGAAGACAACACTTTTCTCATTGCCATTTTAAAGCTTTCATGATAGAGGTTGTTATTAAGCAAAGCAATTTCTGTGGATTCCAATATACATGTCTGCTCCATAGCATCTGGTTTGCTGGTCTGAAGGTTAGCCAGGGCACTACAGAGTTCAGCTTCACTTCCTAAGGATAACAAGTCTTTATCCTTGCTAAAATCTTTTCCAACATCCATTTCATGTTCTGAACTGAAAACACTGATATTCTGAATTCTTAAGTAACAATCTTGACAAGACACTTCCATCATCACCTGGTCCCCAGATTTTATCCAGTAGTCTCCATAAAACAGTAAGAAAGAAAGAAAAATTGTAATTAATATATTTATAAGTCTAAGAATCATACAAATACTTCCACTCTCCCCTCATTTTGAAATCACTACAGGAAAGATTACATCTATTGATTTAATAGAATTAAGTGAATTAATTTATTCATGTCCTACAAAAATAACTAGGAAAAATCCCTACAGCTTTACTTAGTGAAAAACTTAAGTTTGAAGATTCAATTAACTAATGGCATAATAGACTCAAGAGCTCCATTATTGGACCCCAACTATTAGTTTTATAGTGCCTTTACTGCAATCACTAGATATCATGTCCCCATATTATGGAGTGGGGAAAGGGGTACAGGAGACTCCCAATCCTCTTCAGTAGTGAAGCGAATAACAAAGATAAATAAAAGTCAGGGATCAATACCAAATCTCACTTTAGCTTAAAGGGGCATTCTTTTCTCTAACAGCAATTTCCAAAAAGAACAAGGCAGCATTCAATAGAACCTTGTCAGTAATATTTCTGTTTATATTTAAACATTCTTTCATGTTTAGGAATTTGATAATATAAGGAAGGACTAAGTCCTACAATAAAGAGTGTATCATGGTCTTATCCATGAACTTTCAAACTTGGTAAAACTTTAAAATGTGCACATATAATCACAATTTCTTCTTATCAGCATTTAGAGATGGTTGAAAATACAAATTATTCTTTTGTTTACACATTTAAAATGTCCTTTCCCTAAGAAGGATTAAAATTTTTAAAGCCCATCTAAGTTACTATAAGAAAGTTAGAATAAACAAAATAACACATGAAAAGATGTGCAACATCACTAATCATCAGGGAAATGCAAATCAAAACCACAGTGAGATATAACCTCACACCTGTCAGAATGGCTAAAATCAAAAACACAAGAAACAAGTGTTGGCAAAGATGTGCACTGTGGGTGGGAATAGTGTGGAAAATAGCATGGAGGTTCCTCAATAAATTAAAAATGTAATTACCCCTGCTGGGTATTTATTCAAAGAACACGAAAACACTAATTCAAAGGGATACACACACCCTTATGTTTATAGCAGCATTATTTACAATAGTCAAGGTATGGAAGCAGCCCAAGAGAACACTGATAGATAAATGGATAAAGAAATGTGGTATAGAAGAGAGGTGGGCTGGGGGATGGGTTAAATAGGTGATGGGGATTAAGGAATACACTTGGTATGATGAGCACCAGGTGATGTATAGAGGTGTTGAATCACTATAGCATACACTTGAAACTATAATTACATTGTATGTTAACTGGAACTTAAATAAAAACTTAGAAAAAAAAAGATGTGATATATACATACAATAGAATATTACTCGGCCATAAAAAGGAATGAAATCTTGCCATTTGCAACAATATGGATGGATCTACTGAAATAAGTCAGTCAGAGACAGACAAATACCACATGATTTCATTCATACGTGGAATTTAAAAAACAAAATAAACAAAGAAAAAAAAAGAGACAACCCAAAAAACAGACTCTTAACTACAGTAAACAAACTTATGGTTACCAGAGGGGAGGGAGGTGGATGGATGGGTGAAATAGGAGGTGAGAATTAAGAATATATTTATGATGGGGTGCCTGGATGGCTCGGTGCATTGAGCATCTGACTCTTGATCTTGGCTCAGGTCATGAACTCATGGTTTCTAAGATCATGCCCTCCATCAGGCTCTGCACTAACATCGTGGAGCCTGCTTGGGATTCCCTCTCCCTCTCTCTCCTCCCCTCCCCTACTCACATGCATGCACATGCATACAAAATCTCTCTCAAAATAAATAAGCATTAAAAAAAGAGTGTATTTATGATGAGCTTGAATAGAGAATTGCTGAATTATCACATTGATGATCTGAAACTAATGTAACATGATATGTTAATTATACTGGAATTATAGTTTTAAAAATAAAACAAATAAAGAAAAAATGCCACTTACTGAGTGCCAGTTGCTATGATAGGCATTTTACATCCATTATCACTGATAATCCCTACAACAATCCTACCAAGTAGGCAGCATCCCATTTTTATACATCACATAATAACAGTTCTGAGACATAACCAGCAAGGCTAGCCAGAGAGTCAGTAGCAGTGCTAAGACTTGAATCCCAAATCTACCTGACTGACTCCAAAAACACCATACTAGCCACAACACTATACTCATCCCATGACTTAATGGTCTTGCCAAATTAAATCCTTGACTAGGAGACTAAACAGAAATAGAAACTTATTACCTCCCAGTTTAAAACAGGTATAATTTTTCTATGTAATACAACTTACGTGAACTACACTAAAACCCATCAAATTGCTGGCAAAAAAAATTTCTACAGAAAAAAATCTTTAACATAGAACTTCTCTAAGGAAGTCCATGAATTTATGAGCCCTCTAAAACTGTAAAATGTTGTTTATATGTGTGTGTGTGCATTTCCATGACTCGTGGCTCCACAAATGCCATCAGATCCTAAAAGCAGGAAGCACTCCTGCACTAGTACTTTTCTACCATGTTCTATAAAAAATGGACTAGCATTCTATTATCTGCTGATAACCAGAGTAATCAGAGCTGAAGAAATGATTTAACAATAGACATTGTTGAATGGTATGCAGCAATTATGTTTTATTCTCTTTCTTAACTATATATATTAACTATTTAAAACTACTTTTTAAAAAAGAAAGTTCTGAAAAACTTAACCAATCTCCCTCAACTGGAAACTTCATATTCAAAGTAAATTTTCTTACCCTGATTGAAATGCTTAGAAGATTAAAGCAACAAGACTAAACAAACAAACAAACAAACAAAAATTAGACAAGTTATACCTGCAAGGTCATGTACGGGGTAGACAGCCTGTTCCCAACATGTTTCCTCACTAGGACTTGTGGATAAACTGTGTTCATCATCAAGCTGGAGTACAAACCAAACCACAATAGCATCTAGTATGCCTTCTTTAATCACAGGAATACCAATTTTACCAGATTTTTTAGTTGCAAGACTTTTTAATTCCTGACAAAAACGTAAAAGGAATGAAAGCAGTTTATATATGCAATATATACATGCCCTACTATTACATCTCTTTCCATTTCTGTAAGTTCTCAGATCTGCCCAGCATCACTGGGGGAATCAGTATCTTAACACACCTATAGCCATTTCAGGCATACTAAATGAGAAGCTCCAATCTACCACAGTGGAATACGGTGGAACTATTAAAAGCAATGAGGCAGAGTGAGTGGGTGGCTCAGTCAGTTGAGCATATGACTTTAGCTCAGGTCATGATCTCACAGTTCACAAGTTAGAGCTCCGCATAGGGCTCTGTGCTGCCAGCACAGAGTCTGCTTTGGATCCTTGTCCCCTTCTGTCTCTGTCCCTCCCCCGCTGTGCACAAGCGTGTGTGCGCTTTTTCTCTCCCTCAAAAATAAACATTAAAAATAAAATGAGGCACATACATAATACTGATGTAGAGACAAATCCAGGATATACTGTTGAACGAAGGAAGTGAATGGCAAAGAAATAGGGATTGTTTTTGAAAACATGAGCACATGAGTGTGTGTGTGTGTGTGTGTGTGTGTGTGTGTGTGTAGAAAAACAGAAAAGCAAGTCTGAAAAGATATACTTCAAATTGGTGACCTGAGAAAGTAGGACCTAGATTTAAAAAAAGGAAGGGGTGCCTGGGGTGCTCAGTTGGTTAAGTGTCACACTCCTGATTTTGGACGCTCATCCTGGAGCTCTGAGCTGCTTGGGATTCTCTTTCTCTGTCCCTCCCCCAGCAGCATGCATGTGTGTACTCTCTCTCAAAAATAAATAAATAAAGCTTAAAAAATAATAAAATAAATTAAAAAGGAAGACATATACTTTTTCTTCTATTCTTCTGTATTACTTGAAAGTGTTAAAACAAGCAGATTTTACTTGAAATTTAACTGTGGCAAAGAAAAATTAACGTAAGAAAATCTCAAAATAAGGACAGCTTTGGGGTATTTAGCAACTAAAATCATGTTGATCCCTACTGTACAGTTGTATCAGAAAAGAAATGATCTTGAAGCTCAGTCTCAGTAATCAATGTCAAAGTGTTAATGTAGCTCCAAACCACCTCAAGAAAAATCTAGTAACAACTAATAGGGGATTAAATTATATTAAATGTATTAAATTATAAAGATCTTAGGCTAAAATGACCTTCACAAAGTGTTCTGTGCTCACGCAGGTTTCATCTAATCTGCCTTAAAGACCTTCAGAGGACTCCATGTGACCTTTTTTCATTTCCTTAGGCACTTCCTTTGTGTAGCACAGCCTCCCACCACCCACCGATACACACACACAGACACTTAGGGCCATCAACTTGTCCTGGTTTGCTCAAGACTGTTCTAGTTTTTTTTTTTATTTTTCTTAATATTTATTTATTTTTGAGAGAGAGACAGAGTGAGACACAGCACGAGCAGGGGAGGGGCAGAGAGAGAGGGAGGCACAGAATCTGAAGCAGGCTCCAGGCTCTGAGCTGTCAGCACAGAGCCCGAAGTGGGGCCCAAACCCAGGGACTGCGAGATCATGACCCGAACCGAAGTCGGACCCTCAACCAACTGAGCCACCCAGGTGCCCCAAGACTGTTCTAGTTTTAAAAAGGAAAGTCCCGCGCCTTGGGAATCTCTCATTTCTGGGCAAACTGATATGGGTGCTCGCCCTAATACACATACAATCTAGAGATCTGGATTACTGTTCATTTCAAGGAATACTGTTAACTTAAAACGGCAGTACAACATTGAGAAAAGTCAGAAAGCTCTAGGTTATAACTCTTGCATTCACACCTGCATAATCTGAGGAAAATGAATGTAAACAAAAGTTCTCTCATCTGTACAGCCCAAGGATAACTATATTGCAACACTGTTGTAAAAGCAATCTAAGAACACATGTGAAAGCACCCGGCACATTATACATTCCCAACAAACTTTAGGAATTTTCTTCCTATGTATTTAAAGTAAATAATTTCAGGAGAAAATACTGGTTACCATTTAATCATTTTCCTTACATATAGTAAACAGAATCCCATGCAAACTCATAAAATAAGACTGTTCTATGTAGTACTTTAAACAATGAATGAAATTTAATGCTCAAAATTGTAACTTTTTTTTTTACCTGAAGATTGTTGAAATCTACTGTCATAATTTCAAAGCACTCTGTCAAAGCCAAATATCCCCCAGGAACTCGACTCATCTTTTCAGTTGTATATGGTTCCACTGTCTCTTCAGTATCCACAGAAGAACAAGCTGGACTCTGAAATTTCACATTTGTTGGTAAACAGATCCCAGCAACATCCTTAGTACACACCCTGGTAAGAGGGAAAATGAGAAGTGGAAGGGAGAAAGATGGGGTGGGTTTTTTTGTTTTTTTTTGTTTTTAGAATTGAGTCGAGAAAAAATAAACAAAAATGACATAAAAACTATTGGCAAAGGTTTCTTAAACACAATACATACACAATCACTAACTATAAAGGAAAACAAATGAAAAATAGATCTACATTACAATTAAGAACTCTGTTCATTAAAAAATACTCAGCTTTAAGAAAGTAAAAAGGCACATTGAGTAGAAGCAATTTATAATACACCTATTCAACAAAGGGCTCGTATCCAAAATATATTTTTAAGTTTCTACAAATAAAAGAAAAACAAAAATGGGCAAAAGACTTAGTTCACAAAAGAGCATATCTAAATGGCCAAAAAGCATACAAAAAGTTGCTCAATGTCACTAGTCACCAGGGAAATGAAGTTAACAGACTACACAACCACCAGAATGGGGAAAAGGGAAATGTCAGTAACAAGTGTTGGTGAAGACACACTAGGATCTACACTAGAAGTCTAATACACTATTGGTAGGGGTTTAAAATTAGTAAGACCACTTTGGAAGACTTTTCTTAGTACCTACTCAAGCTGAACATACCCATTCTAGATTCATTCTTAATATAGGAACCTGAAGGTATGTGGCTCTTCTACTTCTGGGAATACAGCCAACAGAAATTCATGTATACAATCACAAAAAGACTGTCCAAGAATGTTTATAATTGTACTACTTCTAATAATCAAAGAACTGGATATAATGTAAATATCCATCAACAGTAAAATGGGCAAATGTCTTGGTATATTTGTACAGTGGCATACCGTACATCAATGAGAATGAACAAGCTACACACCAGTGGATATGGATACTGAAAAAAGGCCAGGCACAAAAAAACCATTCTATATGACCCCACTTGTACAAAATTCAAAACAAGCAAAATAATCTATGATGTCAGAAGTCAGGATAGCAGCTATGGTGTCAGAAGTCAGGATAGCGGGTTTCTACCTAGGGACTTTGTGGGGTGGTGGTAAGGTTCTGAACCTTGATCTGAGCATTAGTTACACAAGTGCATCAACTTCATGAAAATTCATCACACCATAAATTTATGGTTTATGCACTTGCTATAACAATGTTCTGATGTTGATAAAAGTTTACACTGAAAAGAACACTTCATGAGCATTTAGCAGCACAATTTTATGAAAAAGAAAGACTCCAGAGGAGCCCAGTGGCTCACTTGGTTAAGCATCCAACTCTTGATTTCAGCTCAGGTCAAGGTCGTGAGATTGAGCCCTGCATCAGGCTCTGAGCTGAGCATGGGGCCTGCTTGAGTTTCTCTCTCTCCCTTTCTCCTCTCCCTCTCCCCCTCCCCTGCCTGCACAGGCTCACTCTTGCTCTTTCTCTCTCTCTCAAAAAAACAAAAACAAAAACAAAAACAAAACTCCAATCTTCTCTCATCTCAGAGGTATTCATTTATTGGTCTATCTACCCTTACAGGGTTGAGGTTGAATTGTGTACTTCTAGAAAATATTTTATTATACTCTCAAAAGATGAATGAAACTATCAATGATTTTAATAACTCAGAAGTGCTACAGAAACAAAAAGGATATGACAACTTCCTTTTAATTTCTTATAAAATACATGAATATAAACTTATCAAAACTCATGATCACATGGTTGATGGGTCCAAGCCCTGAGTCAGGCTGTCAGGCTCTGAGCTTACAGCACAGAGCCGGATTGGATTCTCTCTCCCTCTCTCTCTCTGCTCCCCCCTGCTCAGGTGTGTGTGTGTGTGCACTCTCTCTCTCTCTCTCTCTCTCTCTCTCTCTCTCGCTCCCTCTTTCTCTCCCTCTCTCTCTCAAAATAAATAAATAAACTTAAAAAAAAAAAAAAACCATACCACAGGATGCCTGGGTGGCTCAATCAGTTAAGCATCTAACTCGTGATTTTGGCTCAGGTCATGATCTAACGCTCATTTATTCCTGGGGGGGGGGGGGGGGGGGGGGGGCAGAGAGAGAGGGAAGAGAGAAACCCAAGCTGGCTTGGCATTGTCAGTGCAGAGCCCGATGTGGGGCTTGATCTCACAAACTGTGAGACCATGAGCCAAGCCGAAATCAAGAGCTGGATGCTTAACCAATTGAACCACCCAAGCATCCCAATAAGAAATTGGTTTTAAAAAATCATACAGGGGCGCCTGGGTGGCACAGCCGGTTAAGCGTCCGACTTCAGCCAGGTCACGATCTCGCGGTCCGGGAGTTCGAGCCCCGCGTCGGGCTCTGGGCTGATGGCTCAGAGCCTGGAGCCTGTTTCCCATTCTGTGTCTCCCTCTCTCTCTGCCCTTCCCCCGTTCATGCTCTGTCTCTCTCTGTCCCAAAAAATAAATAAACGTTGAAAAAAAAAATTAAAAAAAATAAATAAAAAATCATGCAGCATATCTATTAACATGAAGAGGCTCACAAAGAAAAAGCATATATATTTATTGATATTTTTGAAACAAAATTAAATTTATACACACATACACATTTACTTACAGAGCTGACATTCAACCAGGCACACTAATTCAGCCAATCTGCTAATTAAGGCCACTGTTTGGCTGATGCTCTATGCCCTACCAACCACTAAATGTTTTTACTTATCACCCCGTAACATGCATAGAGAATAAGGAAGAATATACAATAAAGATGAACAGTATTTATCTAATGGTGAGGAGTTTAGGATTATTTTTATTTTCTTCTTTTACTCATCACTATTTCTTAAAATAATTATATGTTACGTTTACTACTATTAAGTTATAGGAAGGGGGCCTCCTTAAAAAGTCCTAATAAAATAAGGATCAGTATTTTAGCAAGATAAAATATTTTTTAATGCTCAAGAAAAAAAAATAACCAAGAGGCTTCTATGACTAAAAATATTTAATATCACATTTTCACTTGTGTCATATTTGACAAGTAAATCTTAGAATTTCCAGAGCAGAAACTTCCTAAAATTTCATTCTACATAACCACAAAACATTATAATATCAATAAAGTTATTAAGAAGAGGGAAATAGGAGAAATAAATTAAAATAAATTATTTTCACACTAGAAATTTTTATTTCACTTTCATCTGAAATCAGTCTGAACTTAATATTTTTCTATATGAATCTATCACACATCAAAAAGATACTAAATTTGGGGTGCATGGGTGGCTCAGCTTGGGATTCTCTCTCTCCCTCTCTTTCTCCGCCCCTCCCCTGTTCACACACTTGCATGCTTTCTCTCTCTCTCCCTCTCTCTAAATATAAACAAACTTAAAAAAAAGATACTAAGTTGTATCAAAATTAATTTTCCACTAAAAAATCTAAAGCTGGTTTTAATTCTTTCTCTGAAAGAAAGAAAGGGGAGCTGGTGGCTCAGTGGGTTGAGTGCCTGACTCTTGATTTCAGCTCAGATCATAATCCCAGGGTCATGGGACCAAGCCCTGCATTAACCCCAACTCAACTCATGCTCCATCCTGAGAGTGGAGCCTACTTGGAATTCTCTCTTTCTCTCTCTCCCTCTGCCCTTCCCACATTCACACACTCTCTCTAATTAAAAAAATAATACTTTAAAAAAAATTTAAATAAATAAAAGAAAAAGGCAAAAAGGGAATTAAGACTGGAATAAACATCATGAATTTAAAGGTCACAAAACTACAAATTCTCATCCAAATAAATATTCCCTAAATAACCTTTCAAGTACAGTTTACTCCTTAAAATTACTGTTTTCTAATATTTACTAGTTAAATAATCACTTACCTATGATGTCTTCTTATTTCTGCACATTCTACTGCCATTCCATATAGAACAGCACTTGCTGGTATAACTTTCCCATACTTTTCACAATTACCATTTTCACCTCTGGTCTAAAAATATAATAATAAAAATTATATTCAGTTATATGTATGCAAAAATATGTGTGCATGATTATGAGAAAGAAAATTAATTTTTAAAAAACCTTAAAAGCAATGGGTAAGGATAAACAAGTTAAGGAACTTTTTCTTTAAAAAGCTTCTTTTGGGGTGCCTGGATGATTCAGTTGGTTGAGCATCCAACTCCTGATTTCTTTTTTTTTTTATTATTTTTTTTTTAATTTTTTTTTTCTTTTCAACGTTTTTTTTATTTATTTTTGAGACAGAGAGAGACAGAGCATGAACGGGGGAGGGGCAGAGAGGGAGACACAGAATCGGAAACAGGCTCCAGGCTCCGAGCCACCAGCCCAGAGCCCGACGCGGGGCTCGAACTCCCGGACCGCGAGATCGTGACCTGGCTGAAGTCGGACGCTTAACCGACTGCGCCACCCAGGCGCCCCCAACTCCTGATTTCGACTCAGATCATGATCCCAGGGTCTTGGGATTCTCTTAAGACTCTCTCTCTCTCTCCCTCTGCCCCTCTCCCCCACTTATGCACTCTCTCTCTAAAAAAAAGTAAGTTTCTTTTGTGGGGCACCTGGCTAGCTCAGTCAGTACAGCATGTGAATCTTGGATCTCAAGAGTTGTGAGTTCAAGCCCCATGTTGGGTGCAGAAGATTGCTTAAAAATGAAATCTTTTTAAAGAATGTAATTAAAAGTTTCTTTTGTTAACTAGACTCATGATCATTTCATAATATATACAAGTTTTGATTCATTAATTCTATACCTGAAATTAATGTAATGTTATATGTCAATCACACCTAAATAAAGAAGTTTATGTATGTATATACACATACAGTGTGTGTTTATATATAATGTATGTATGTATATATATGTACACATACATTGGAATATTAGCCATAAAAGAGAACGAAATCTTGCCATTAGCAACAACATGGATGGGTCTAGAGGATATAATGCTAAGTGAAATAAGTCAGAGAAATACTGTATGATTTCACTCATATGTGGAATTTAAAAAACAAAAGAACAAAAAAAGAGACAAAAAAACACTCTTAAATACAAAAAATAAACTGGTGGTTGCCAGAGGATAAATGGGGGGGGGGGGGCGGGGATGGGTGAAACAGGTGAAGGAGATTAAGACTACACTTATTACGATGAGTGCTGAATAATGTATAGAATTGCTGAATCATTATATTGTACACCTGAAACTAATATAACACTGTATATATGTTAATTATATTTGAATAAAAACACAGTATTTAAAAAAATCAAAAACAATGAATGGGATCCCATGTTAACACTAACTTTATTTTTTTTAAGCTTATTTTACTTTCATTGCTATATGTATGTGTGTGTATACATTAATTTTTTTCATCAGTACAAATAGGAAAAGGAGGGTAGCTAGGAAGTCTGTATACAGCAACAAACTGCTGGGTATGACTAACAGAGAAGCCAAAATCACTAATTTTTTTTTAAATCATTATTACCTAGTTGAAAAACAACCTTCTTTTTAAACTTTAATTAGGTATTTTAAATTCAAATCATTTTCTGTAAATAGTAAATTCTTGTTAAAAGCCTTTCATTCACATTACCTATTACAAAAACCAAATCGACAATTTGTGGGCCACATTAGAGGATTTCATTGCAAAACATAAGTTGGCAATTTTAAGAGTTGGTCCTGTCCAATCAATTGGTACGTAAAACATATACAAAGCCAGTTACCAATATCCCTTTTGATAATTTGCCAAACTCCAATCAGTGAGGGCTGTGAGACTGAAAGCACTTCCCTTTCTCAACCCTACTCAAGAATTCCACAATGCCGGTCCACAATGTAAGCTTAATTACCATGAATTCCTTCCTGGAGTGTTTTTGCCTGAATACCCCATTTGGGTACACAAGCATACGTTATATGATTAAATGTGGTTTTTGCATGGATTTCTTTCCACCTACAAAGTATACACCTTGACAGGATGTATAGTAAAACCTTGGATTGCATATAAGTTGTTCTGTGAATGTTCCACAAGATGAGCAAACATTTTTAATAAATTTTAACCTGATAAATAAGTAATGTCTTGTAACACAAGTAGTACATGACACCGAACATCACATGATCACAACTAAGCCAATGGTTCTTCTTGCTCTCTCTCTCTGCGGGATTATGGGTGATCGTCTCCCATGCTCAGGTGCTCCGTCTCAGGCCGCAGTGTTTGGCAGAAATCAGTAATTTTTCAGAACGTTGGAAGGTGTCCACAACTGGCACTAGTGTATTTTTTGTCACTTTATAAAGCACCTATGGATAGTCCTTTGCTTTTCTACACAAGAGTAAGCTTAGGAATGTTTTCCTTCATTCTAGGTCAAGATGCCTACAGATATAGACCCTTTCCTCTGTTGCCTTATTGCCAGTTACATTAAATACAGTATACGACAAGAGTTTATTGATACTGTAGTCAACATCTGTATGAGCATATACAATGGCTCCCATGCAGAAAAAGATACCACTGAGCCAATAGATAGCAGTGATACCATTACTGACAATGAAAGGCACCCTACACAATAACGCTCCTCTCTCGTCTCCCCCACACCAGCCATGAAGGTTTTCGAAGGTAAGTGCAGGTTATTTTTCTTTATATTTTGTATTTTCTTTATTATTTTGTATTATGCTACAGTAACGTAATCATTTTTGTATGAATATTTTTGTGTTGTGGGACAACTCATCTGGGTTTCCACTATTTCTTATGGGGAAATTCACTTTGATATACAAGTGCTTTGGATTGCAAATATGTTTCTGGAATGAATTATGCTCACAAACCAAGGTTTTACTGTATGTCATACTGCTTTGCAAATACACAAGGGGTTCGATAAATACCTATTGAAATAATGAATTCTTAATCAAATTTAAGTGTTTTCATGCTGCTTACCTTTGGCTGCAAAAGTAAATGCTCCCATGCATGAATTAAACTCTCCACAATTCCTTCTCCAAATAAACCTGCATCGACAGTTTCTGTTACAACTAGGGACACTCTATAGAATGATTTTTTAAAGATATATGTAAGTAAAATATCATGCTATTTATGTAAAGATTTCAAAGCTGAGAGAAGAAAGGAAGAGTATATTACAGAAACAGTCCATATATAAAATTTTCTAATACATTTCATTTTTTATTTTCTACCCACAAATCCTAAGGAACTTGACTCTACTGTTCCTCAGGCTCCTCTGTTCTCCACTGACACCTTCTGGGGGTGGAGAGACGCACAACCTTCCCTTGACCCTGCTACCTCCTCAGGCTCTTCTTTCATTCCTTAAATCCTTAAGAGTGCTTCATAGCCAGTCCCCTCCTTGATGTCAACACTCCATAAAAATATTGTCATAAATAATTCCCTTACTTATCAAGATGATTCTTTCTCAGGTCTCATTTTCCTTAATCTACAAATAATGTATATGAGAAGGCCTCCCTCTCAAAATCCTTCTCTTCCTTCATTACTCATGTTTACCTCTTATATATTCATAGGTCTCTTGTTGCTTCTTTTGCTTCACCTACTACCTGCGAGTTATCACAGAAGAGCCACAGAGCTCTGATCTTTTGACTGTTCTTTCTTTCTAGAAAATTTCACTCAAAGACATACCAAAATAGTTTCTCTCTTCTCTGAACTTCTTTAGCACTTATTCCCAGTATCATTTATTTATATAGCTAGAAGATAAAGAAAAACTTCATGAATATTCCTTATCTTCCTCTTTTGATTGTGGACACCTTGAGGACTGAAATAACTTTGGTATCCTCTACAGGGCCTAAAGCCAGTATTACACAAGTCCACAAAATTTTCAATATTTAAAGGCTGCAAACATATAGAATGTTGAAGGTATCCCAATCATCTAGTCCAACATCTTGATGTCTCTAGATTTGCTCAGGGCCAAAATAAATTATAACAGAGTCAGTATTAGAATCCATATCTCCTAATTCAAAGCTGTAGGTCCTTCTACCACACTATCTATGAGAGAAATGAAGGTTAAATTAAAGTAACTGATTCATACCATGGACTGAATTATGGACCACCAAAATTCATATGCTGAAGCCCTAACCCCCAATGTGACTACATTTAAGGATAGGGTCTTTAGGAGGTAATTAAGGTTAAATGAGGTCATAAGGATGGGGCCCTAATGTGACAGGGCTGGTTTTCTTATAAAAGCGGAAGAGACACAGGCACTCTCTGTGTCTCTTCACATGCACAGAAGGAAAGGAAAGGAATACAGCTGTCTGCAAGCTAGGAAGGGAGCTCTCACCAGAAATCAAATTTTCCAGCACCCTTCATCACAGACTTCTAGCCTCCAGAACTGTGAGAAAATAAAAGTCTGTTGTTTAAGCCACCTAGTCTCTGGTATCTTGTTAGGGCAACAAGCAGACTAAGATAATTCAGGAGACTGCTGATTTCTGCCACAACAATCTAGTAAGACTTCTTTCATGCAAACAAATGTAGAGCCCATTAAAAAGTGAATTATGTATACAAAAATACTATTATACATATCGAAGAAGCCTTTTAAAAATCATAGTCCAAATGACAACAGATGATAAAAAAGTCATCTTTCAATATAAGCTGAACTTAAGAAGACAGACCACCCAAGAGAGGTAGTAAAGCAAGTGCTACATAAAGAAAGCTCTGTCTCTAAAATAGTGTTGGACCAGATGATATATAAATCCATTCTAGCTCTAAAATGCCATCAGCCTTGTGATATAGATCAAAGCAAGATGACATACTAAAAAGCCAAGACTTATGAGACAATATTCAAAGCATCTGAAGAACCCAGGCCAAAATACATGGACAGCTGACACTTCCAAAGCTTTCATTTTAGCCAAGGATAACACAAAATGTGAGAAGTCCATCAAGCTTGATCTACTCACGTATTATTTTTAACTATAACTTTTAAATAGTTATTGACCATACAGGAAGTATTATCCATTTTCACAAACAGAATATTGAAGTTAACAAAAGTAAGGTAACTTGCTAAAGGTCAAGTTTATCTGTTAAATCGCTTGGCGCAAAATTTTGTCAAGATCTTTAAATATTTTTTATCAAGAATATGACATTATGAAAATTTATCTTATGCTAAATGATCCTATATCGCTATCTTTACAATATAAGGGTTTTAGCATTTTTATTTGGGCTAGAAGCTATAAATGCGAATATCTTAATTTTTTTAAATAAAATAGTGGATTATAAAAACTAAAATGATATATATTATATAGTACCTTTCAGGAATGTGTTTTGGAATCTCTATGTCAAGTGACTTCATATGTAAGAGTTTGATTCCTGCTTCCATCTTGTTTGCTGCTACTACATCACAGGCAAGTTCATACATGGTCTTGGATAACTCACAAGCATATACTGAGTGTGCTCCAGCTTTTTTAGCAAACATGCTGCAAAGAAAAAGGTGCCCCATCAAGAAAAAATAATCCACTATGGTTTTTCAAATTTAATGGAATTATAATGTTAAACATGGGGTTTTTCTTTATTCTGTAATACAACCATTATTCATTCCACATTAAAAAATGACCCAGGGGTGCCTGGGTGGCTCAGCTGATTGAACATCTGACTTTGACTCAGGTCATGATCTCACAGTCTATGGGTTAGAGCCCCACATCGGGCTCTGTGCTGACAGCTCAGAGCCTGGAGCTGCTTTGGATTCTGTGTCTCCCTCTCTCTCTGGCCCTCCCTTGCTTACACTCTGTCTCTCTGTCTCTCAAAAATAAATAAACATTAAAAAAACAAAATGAACCAATATTCTTATTAAGAAACAAATCATACAGGGGCACCTGACTGGCTCAGTCAATGGAGCACGTGACCCTTGATCTCGGGGTTGTAAGTTTGAGTTCCACCTTGGGTGGAGAGATTACTTAAAAATAAAATCTTTAAAAAAACAAAATAGAAACAAACTATACAATAAATCATGACATTCATGTTTTTAAGAAGATACAACTGGCATGAAAAATATCGATAGGTTTTAACTTAGAGAACTAGATTCAACCAAAATATTAATGCAAAAAGTACTCTAAAAAGGCATTCAAAATTTCAATCATAACCTCAAATTCTCCTTAGTAGTTATGTCCAGTTCTTGATAAATTAAAGTTACAGTAAAAAATACAATAATAGTAGTTGCATGAATAATCATAAGATTATTAAATATAAAGTAAACTCTGTTTCAATTCCACTGTTAAATTTTCCATATTTGGCAAAAGCTTTAATTTACCTTGGTGTATATGTGTATATAATTAAAGCACAATTACGACAAACCTTAGTATTCCAGTTCCTGCTCCAATGTCCAAAACACTCTTGGACCCCAAACAAACTGCATCCTGGATTGCTGCATTATAAATTGTATTCCGTTTGGTGTCATTAAGCATGATAAAGTGCCAGCGTTCCACCAACCAGTTTGCAACACGATAAAAATTCTCCTTTGCATCATTGAAATCTGGGTTTAGTTTCACTGCTTTATGAAAATACCCAGCTGCTTCATCTCTAAAGCCCATTCTATAGTAAAAAATGACAGAGAAAATATTCAATTATTATGATAGCAATTACTGTGCCTTTATCCATGGCACTCATCTGGCCTAAGAATCCCTCTCCAGTACCCCAAATCCTACTCAACCCAAGCACCATCTCCTTTTGTAAGGACTGCAATCCTTGATCACTTCTTTCCTCTCTGAACCCTTATTGTATTTATGCATTCTAGGAGACAGACTATAAATTACTATTGTAACTAAAGTATAGTAGAAGCTCTCATAGTCCTCTTCAATTTAACCAACCCACTAAAACACGATTGCTTTCTAAAAACCATTCCCTGTGTAAAACATATCAATGTCTATAGCTAGTAGGCTCCTCGCTGGTGTGCCTGCATACCTTTTCTCTCAGCAACTGAATGAATTATCAAGAGTCGGTTGTGTTTGTGGGGTACCTGGGTGGCTCAGGTTAAGTGTCTGACTTCGGCTCAGGTCATGATCTTGCACTCCGTCAGTTCTAGCCCCACGTTGGGCTCTGTGCTGACAGCTCAGAGCCTGGGGGTTGCTTCAGATTCTGTGTCTCCCTCTCTCTCTATCCCTCTCCGCTCCCTTGCGCTCACATTCTCTCTCTCTCTCTCTCAAAAGCAAATAAACATTAAAAAACAATTTAAAATAAAAGAGTCGGTTGTATTTGCTGTCAGACCAGTTTACACCAGTTGTATTTGTTATTATAATTACATATTTTAATTAAATATTACAGAAACTAAATAAATTATGACTGCAAAAAGAGAGCCACTGTTTCTGAGGACACTTAGTAAATGCTTTGTAAAACATCAGAGGCAAATCACCCAAAAAGCTGCTACTGAAGTTTATGTAAGCAAATCATCAATAAAAAGGGAGAAAACTTCCAAACTATCTAGAAAAGTGCTTCTTAAACATTCTGTGGTGAGGAACTCATCTCCCCTTTTCTAAATATCTAATATTTGTAGACCAATACAGTCTCACTGCACGTAATTAGTATGCAACTCACACATCAGATTTCACCCAAACTGGTCCACATTATTTTCAAGAAGTGAGTTTCATGATCACATGCTTGGGATTACAGCAATGTCAAACTGCTATATACATTTCTAAACACTTCCTCTCAATTTCTATACTTATCCATCACTAACTGATAATTTGTGGACCAGCACAAGTGTGTAGTCCACAAGCTGAAGAGAACTGAGCTAGTAAAACCCTTTTACACTCATACTTCTTCAGAAGAACCTTTAAGCATTCTGTCAATTTTAAAGAAACCAAATCAGATTATTAATTCTATGTATGATTTACATAAAAAAAGACATTCTGGAATTTCAAACAGGAAACTGCATGGGCAATGGCCCTATGTCAAATGATACGCACTCATGTTTTAGGTTAAAATAAAAACGTTTAAGATTAGTATCTGCTAGACAGAGCTATCCTAATCTGCAACGGACATTGCACACAGTACAATACAAAATACATTGTATGTAATCACTGCTTGGTGAGAGACAAAACTAGCAATGGATATTTTAAGTTTTTAAATATCAACAATCTACTGAATCAATGCCACACCTGCCCCTAATAATTTCTTGGGGTTTATGCTTCCCTGAAGTTTGATTCTTAATATATCATTGTTTTCTTAAACTGTAACGATAATCTGAAAAATGTATGGTACACTCAAAATATATCTCATACTGATAGACTCAACAATGTGTCAGTATCAACAAACTATGAAACCACCTCTTTTCTTTTAACTAGAAAAAAAAATTACCTTCCCAATTAGGAACTTAAATGTTTTGTTTAAATCTGATGCTGCTGGACTAACATAAGGTTGTAAAGTTGAGACATTCCAGACACAAATTTCATTTAATAAACAAAAGGAATAAAGGAAAGGAAGCTATCATTTACTCTGGAAATCTTTTTCTCCTGGAGCAGTGATTCTTTCAGTGGGAAGTGAGTGATCCACTCTTTGATGAGGAAAGTAGGACAAAAGCTAAGAGCTACTGTTGTAGAGAACAAAGATAAACTATACAGCAAAAGCCACATTCACACTATCACAACTGATGAAATCTCAATGTCTAAATTAGAAATTTTGCATAATTTTATCTCCTAAAAGCAAACAAGCATGGTTTTGTTTTTTTTTTTTTTGTTTTTTTTGTCTCACGAATTGGTAACTGCTCAGACTAATATCCTGCAACAACAGGTCACCAAGTTAAAATCTGTCAAAAGTGTGTAGAGCTCCAATTTTCTGTTAAATTGAGTTTATCCTTAAAGATAAGTTCTAGGATGTTATGATAATAACATGTGCATTACCTGGAAATAAATTGAATCCCATAAAGTAACTCCTCTTTCATGGACTGAAGAACTAAAAAAACTTTGAAATTAATGGGGCACCTGGGTGGTTCAGTCGGTTAAGCAACTGACTCCTGGTTTCAGCTCAGGTCATGATCTCACCGTTTATGAGTTCAAGCCCCACCTCAAGCCCTGTGCTGACAGCACAGAGCCTGCTTGGGATTCTCTCTCTCCCTCTGTCTCTGTCCATCCCCCTCCTGACTCTCTCTCTCAAAATAAATTGAAAAAAAATAATAAACTTAAAAAAATCTTTTAAACTAAATTTCATTTAAAGGAAAATTAGTTGGGGCACCTGGGTGACTGACTGAGTGTCCGACTTCGACTCAAGTCATGATCTCACAGTTCATGAGTTTGAGCCCTGCGTCAGGCTCTGTGCTGACCGCTCAGAGCCTGGAACCTGCTTCAGATTCTGTGTCTCCCTCTCTCTGCCCCTTCCCTGCTCATGCTTTGTCTCTCTCTGTCCTTCAAAAATGAATAAATGTTAAAAAAAAAAAATTAAAGGAAAAGTAGTTGCTAATTAATACAGATGGGAGTCTATGTAACAGGATCAGGTTAGCTGTTAGTGTGAACAAACAAGCGTCAGTTGACAATCTGCCTTATTTTCCCGGTTATTATCATACTCTACAATTAGAAACTATCAAATATTTATCTCTTAAAGGAGTACTTATTTCACTTCCCAGGCCATGTTGATTAAGACTATTAAACCATATAGCAGCTACCTCTCTGAGACTAACACACTTTGATAAAGGCATTTCTTTTTTTTTTTTTATATAAATTTTTTTTTTCAACATTTATTTATTTTTGGGACAGAGACAGACAGAGCATGAACGGGGGAGGGGCAGAGAGAGAGGGAGACACAGAATCGGAAACAGGCTCCAGGCTCTGAGCCATCAGCCCAGAGCCTGACGCGGGGCTCGAACTCAAGGACCGCGAGATCGTGACCTGGCTGAAGTCGGACGCTTAACCGACTGCGCCACCCAGGCGCCCCATGATAAAGGCATTTCTTATGTATAACTTTTCATTGACTAAAACTTAACATGACAAGATGAACAAAGCAGTAATACTAGAGGAAACTGCTGGAACATGTAAAATTATCTTACTATATACAGTAGGACATTACCATGGCATTTCGTAAATAAGAAGTCTTTTACTTTGTACAAAGAAGTGACACCAGATTTATTAAAACAAATCCAATACAAAAATTTTGGGTTTTCATCAGTTTTCCTAATTACACAGTTTCTATGAAGAACAGGCAGAAATTCCAATGGCAAGTTTTCAGCAAGATCCAGAAAACAGAATTACAAGTTCCTTGGCAAGGCATCAGAGTGACTTCACTGCCACCCTGCAACCCATGGCTGTGTCCTCTCCAACAAGGTCTGAATCTTAGCCAGGTGGAGGGAACTCTTCCTTGAATATTATATCCTAGCCCTAGGGGCAGTGGCTGTGTAGTATATGATTTAATGTTAAAACTGTTCTGTTAGTAAGTCGGACAGAGAAAGACAGATATCACATGTTTTCAGTCATATGTAGAATTTGAGAAATTTAACAGAAGACCATGGGGGAAGGAAAGGGGGAAAAAACAGTTTCAAACAAAGAGGGAGAAAAACCCTAAGAGACTCTTAAATACAGAGAACAAACTGAGGATTGATGGGGCGGGGGTGGGGGGAAGGAGGCAATGGGTGATGGGCACTGAGGAGGGCACCTGTTGGGATGAGCACTGGGTGTTGTATGTAAGCGATGAATCATGGGAATCTAATTCTGAAACCAAGAGCACACTGTATACACTGTATGTTAGCTAACTTGACAATAAATTATATTTAAAATAAGAGAAATGTTGATTGCAGATCAATTGCCTTTATATGCTGGAATAAAAACACTTTCATCAACTGAGAAGAATACATCAGAATATTCAATCTGGATCACTTTCGATAATCATACGTTCCCGAGCATCTTGACTTTTTTCTATATAATGTTTATTACTTTTCCTTATCTGTGTCATTTCTTATGGGTACATTCACAATTGTTTTCTTATATGAAACAAAAGTTGGTGTAATAAAAAAATGCTCTGTTATTACATGTTATATTTGTGATTCTTATATTCTTCTGAGTTCTCTTTATTTTTTACCAGCCAATCCTTCATTACTCTGATCTCCTGTCACAGTTAATAATTCTTTATATTAAACTTTCCCTTTCAAATTACTGTGTGATTTATCTATGATCAAGACTGATACAGAATAATTCTTAACAAATAACACTGAAATCACTACAAACCTGAAGAGGTGTTCCCCCATACTATTGCAAATCACTTCATCATCAGGAAACAGTTCCAAAGCCTGCTCATAACAACCAAGTAAGTCTTGTGTTCGATTGAGAGCATCGAGCTCTTCAGCCCATCTGAACAGTGTATACTGAAAAGTTTCCTGTGGAAAAGAGAAAACAGTAATTTAGTCAATAATATAAATGATGGAAGAATATACAACAGTGGTTGATGATTCCACAGAGAACAGAACGTAATTACTCTTGACTGATCACTTCAAATTTTGTTTAGCTTTAGTACACAGTTTGCTAAATAAGCAAACGCATAAATGAATTTTACCACTTATGTGGCAATAACATGCAGAATTAGACAATCTGAGCACTTTAAACTCTCTATCATATCAGATTCTCCACCTACCTCTCTTTTGTGGGCTTCTATGTTTTAGAAGTTGTTTTTGCCTTCTTCTCTTTGTTCATCCATCTCTATCACCTGTTCTACATCTACATCTCCAATCAAGACCCTCTCTTCTGAATCTCAGACACACAGACACGACTTCCTATTAGTCATCTCAACAAGGGACTGCACCCTCAGCCACCTCAAATTCAGCACAACTCAAATATTTCCTGAGCAATCAGTATGCAAAGAACTGGGGCTAAAATACAGCAATGAGCAACATAAATCCTATTCCTATCCTCACAGAAGCCCTGTAGAAAGAAATCTAACATACAGTTCTTTAAAAATTAAAGAACTAGAAATTAGAGAAACTAGAAATTAGAGAACCTAAAAATAGGTTCTCTAAACTGAACCTATTATATTCCGCTCACACAGGATATAAGGTTAAGGTACTACCAAACCTCAAATGACTAAGTCATCTTATAATGCTACCTTAACTTCCAATACAATTAGTTTCAAACCCAGTCAATTCCATCTCAACATCTTTAACTATGTCACCTCCTCTCCAACCCACTGTTACAACAGTCTGGCCCTTATAATACTTTCTGGACTACAGTAACAGCATTCCCTCTGTCACCCTAGCTCCAATCTCACTTCTCTCCAGCCATTCTCCATACTACAACACAGTGGAAAAAAGGGAAGGCTTTAGTCATTCCAGTTTTATCATGAACACAGTTTACATCATCTTCAGAGATTTATACAGAAGAGTTGAGACTTATAACTGAATCTTGATGGAGTTTACTAAAGAAAAAAGGATATGGAGGAAGACCTAAAGTATCAGGAGAAAAAAGTACGGATGATATGAAATGGATAAGAGAATTTATAACTTGGTGTGACTGAAGTGTGGGCATAGGGAGTAGAGTGAGTAGTAGGAAATAAGACTAAAGAAATGGCTCTTTCACAAATGCCCACAGGAAGGAATATGGACTTTGTTCTACAGGAAACAGAACTAGTTTCTGAACCCTACTGAACACGAGGCATTCAAATACAGGGTTTAGATATACTTTTAATACACATTAAATATCTATTTAAAAAGATACTGTCACTGTTTCAGAAAGGAGGAACCTTAGGAACAAAGAATTAAAGAAACAGCACTTGGGTTGATCAATCATTATTCTACTGCTGCCTACCTATGAGAACAAACTGTATCTCAACATAGCACTTTCTCCTCCTTAGGACCAGCTGCTCCAGAAATTTACACTAAGTTTATGTTAACTACAACCATCTAGAGGTTACTGACATCTAGTGGATAGATATCAACAATGCGGGTAAACATTCTACAATGGCGCAGGACAGCCCTCCACAACAAAGAATCATTCCATCCAAAAAGTCAACAGCGCTGAGGTTGAGAAACGCTAGGTGAAAAAAAGCAAAGTAGCTTGAGGCTGAAAACGGAATACAAAATTTAGTTAAATAATTTTTATAAATTTCGACTCCAAAATAACTTGGAAAAACTTATCTATTACATATAGAACGATCACAATCCAGTAACTGAAGCTTAAATTAATGCCTCATCAATCAAATGACTACTTTATAGTAGCTTATTCCCAACTTTATTCAATTACAGATACCCACGACATTCCTTCTGCATACAAGTGCAAAGGTGCTGAGGCAGGGGCATGCTAGAATTAGATATAGGAGGAGGAGATCACCCTCGGCCTCATTTGCAATATGGCCTTTAGAATTCTGAGTAAGGTGTAAGTTTTGAAACAGATAAGTGGCATCGTCTGACTTGTTATGAAATGCTCACCCAGGCTGTGTTGAGACAGGTTGCCGGAGGAAGCCTAGTTATGAGCCTACACCAACAGCCGACAGATGACTGAGGCTTGAACAGGGGTAGTAAAGGAGAAGGTGGTGAGAAATGCTTACGATTTTGGATACATTTCAAATATGGAGCAGAGAGGATTTTTTTGATGGGCTGGCTGTGGGTGTGAACAAAAGACATGTCAAGGATGAATAGTAAATATTAACAGCAACCACCAGCCATTAACCTTAGCCACCCCTCCCAATGGAAAAATACAGGATCTGCCAGCAAGTGAAAGAAGGGACATCCTCACCTTCACGTCGTCTTTCAGCTCCGGCGCCAGGCTGAGTACGAGGAGGTAGTGGGCATAGGCGGTGCCAAAGTCCTGGGCGCTCAGGCAGTGCTCTGCGCTCTGCAAGGACCGCGACACCAGCCGGTCGCGCCCGACTGCCCCGGCGCCACTCCGGGCACCCCGGCGGGGCCTGGGCCGAGAGTTCGGCATGACAGAGTCACCGCCCTGAAACCTAAGCTTGTATAACCAAAGTGAAGATGTTTTACTAAACGGAACGAGAAAACGGTCCCGTTGGCTACACTTCCAAATGACTTAAACAGAGCGCGAAAACCGGTAACGTAAAGTTATGCCTGGGCCCGTGGTGTGCGCGCCCACCTTAGCCAGGCAAAAGCCCCGCCTCCTCCCTGCCAGGCGGGGTCTGCGAGTCAACCCGGCAAACTGCAGACACCAGCCCACGGCGCACGCCCAGCGAGCGTCAGTGCGCTTGACGTGTGCACGCCGCGGCCCGCCCCCCTCCCCGTGGAAAGGGAGGCGCGAGGTGGACGGGGCGCCTGCGCGGAGAGCAGCGCTTTTAACGGTCTTGAGGTTCTTGCCTTCCTCTCCCTCGCCTCGCTTCCCCTTGCGCCGAAACCGGCGTTTTCTGTCCCTTCTTCCTGGCCGTCAGAAGTGTGTGTGTATGTGTAGTGTGTGTGTGTGACTTCGACTGCAAGACCCGACTCTGCAGATGCAGTCAGCGCGAAGCTGCACCCGACCGTGAGGGACATGGGTGGCAGTGAGGAGGTCAGGCATTTGTGGTGACGTTTAAGATCTTTGGATCGGGATGCCTCAGATCTCAAAATGGCGAGACTGAAAAGAGCCCAAAGTTAACAAACGCACCCTAGATGTAGTGGAGCAAATGCTTTCACAGGCGTTATTTAAAATCATCCTCACAAACCCCCGTGAGGTGGGCTTCTAAATCACAATCTTAAAGGCGGCAAAGGCGACATTCTGAGAAGTTACTTGCCCAGTATCACAAAACTGGGTAGTGGGAAAGGCGTGACTCAAACCCAAGCTCTCTGTTATTTTAAAACGAGTTTAGGATTTATTTCACTGTTCGATGGGTCACCACTGTATACTGGCTATATTAATAACATAGGAAAAAATGTTCTACCTTCAAGTGTGGCCCCTAAGGGATGGATTCAAAACTTTAAAAGGGGGGGGCGTGGAAATTACAGCTGAAAGAAGTCATTTTTGTCCTCATTTTCAAACATCTCAGTAGTGAATATTTTACTTAACAAAAAATAAGACCATTTGCATATCTAACTTTGGGGGGCTCCTACCATTTTCTGCCTTCTCTATTGATCTGATTATTTGAACCACTCTTCCTCTGAGCACTTACCACTGTAAACCCTAATCAGTTCTTCAAAGTCCAGGTTACTAGATTATAATCTCCTCCTGCAGTCAGAAAGTTCCTCAAAGGCAGTAACTGTTCTTAACCATTTTTGTAAGCTTTACCTCTAGCAGAGTCTAGTTCAGAGTAAGGACTCAAAAAATTTTTTTTAGTGTTAATGGAAAGTACATTCCACTACCAGGTTTCACTTGTAGATTTTCCCCATCGTTCACATCCTTTTTTCTTTCCCCTTCTGAATTGCCACTTTTTGTACTAAGCAATTTAAGATTTAACTGTATGATTTTTCCCTAACAAGCCTGAAATGCTAGTCCCAATAGGATGTAGTAGAACATGCAAAGGCCACTGAACAATACAAAACAAAAAAAGTACATTCGAGTGCAAACTTGGTCCTTTTTGCCCCTCCAATAACCTTTCCTTAAGAAGCATTATTTGTAAAAAGGCCTAACAAAGCTACATTTCCTACTTTGGACATAAGATTGATATAACCATCAAATGAGATAATGAGATGTGTAAAAGCATTTTATATATAAGATATATTTAGTGCTAGGCATTGTTTACTTTTAGAGTTACTTAAAACTTACCTGGATTATTTTTTATTTTTCTGTTTATCTTTGAAAGAGAGAGCGGGAGCGGGAGAGGGACCGAGAGAAGGAAACACAGAATCCGAAGCAGGCTCCAGGCTCCGAGCTGTCAGCACGGAGCCCGACACGGGGCTCGGAGCCCGACACGGGGCTCGAACCCATGAAACACGAGATCATGACTTGAGCTGAAGTCGGACGCTTAATCGACTGAGCCACCCAGGTGCCCCAAAATTTATCTGGATTATTAAAATGAAAATTATGTCACAAACACCTTTAAGCACTTGATTGGAAATGGTGCAACTCATATCATTTAAGAGTCTAATGTAATTGGCTGGAATCTCCCTTCAGAAACCAAAGGGAAACCTCCCAAGCTTTCTCTGCAGAGATTTGGGTCAATGGGGAATCACTTAGAGTTCATCATTCTAATAATCTCTGTGAATCCACCATTCAGCTGAATTAGTTTACTTAACAGGTTATCTGTGGTTCAGGACATGCTTTCCTATTCCACGGGGACAAGGTTTCTTTTGTCTTATTTTACTTGTTTTGTTTTTTTGATCTGTTGGTTTATTGAGATAACCTGCATATCTCAAACATCTAGACCACATGAAGCTTAAGGTGGACAAATGTTACCAATATAGGCTAAGAAATGAAGGGGCTTGGCAGGAAGTGAAGAGAAGGCAGAGAAAAAATGAAAGGAGCCAACTTCTATTGCATCATCACCTACAGTATCAACCTGTGGTCAGTGACCACTGCTAAAAAAGTACAAGGGATGCTACCTGCTGTTTGTAAAATACTTCAGGTACCTTTGTGAGCTACTAAGGTTTACTGAGTTCTGATGTGATTTATCTACACGGAGAAATCAGAAGTTATTTGCATTTCTTTGTAGTTTATACCTTAGACACTATATATGGTAAGCCATTTGAAAAAAATGAACTCACAAGACTAACATGGAAGAAAAATGGAATAAAATATATTTTACTATTTTCTTTTATTACCTCATTCCTAATTAAGACTTAGAATTAGATTTTTCATATTTATTGAAGGTTAATTGTATTTATAGTAATTCTTTCAGTCCTTTTGAAAAGGCATTATATTCCATTACAAAAAACTCAAAAGTATGTTGCAAAACAATCATAGAATGTAGATTTTACTTCTTGATCCTTAAGTTTTTCTTTGAAAATATTGAAGGTATCAGGGCACCTGGGTGGCTCAGTCGGTTGAGCATCTGACTTCGGCTCAGGTCAAGATCTCACGGTCTGTGAGTTCGAGCCTGGTGTAGGGTTCTGTGCTGACAGCTCAGAGCCAGGAGCCTGCTTCGGATTCTGTGTCTCCCACTCTCTCTGCCCCTTTTCTGCTCATGCTCTGTCTCTCTCTCTCTCTGTCAAAAATAAACGTTAACAAAATATATTGAAGGTATCGCTCCATTGTTCACAATACCTTTCCTCTCACTCCCATCTCACAACCAAAACTAATCTTTAGAATTAGTCTATTTGATTCCTCCATTTATGTGTTCTAGTTCACCCTTTTTAGGGTTCCAAGAAAAACCCACTGATTAGAAAACTACTGCTGACTCAGAGGCAGGTTTAATTGTGGTTGTTTTTGACCACGTTCTGGGCAGCTTGTCAACAAACCACACATGCCAAACAAGGAAGCAAAACCAACTGAAAGTCTCTCAGTCAACTTTCCAATTTGCAAAAGTTGAAAGTTAACGGGGAAAAAAAGGCTCACAGGAAGTTCATTAAGAAGAGATAAACAGCTTGCCAGGCACAAGTATCTCATGTTTATACTTTCCGTGGAGATTCATATCTTTCTGTGTGATTTAGTTTGTTTTACAATTTTGTAGTTTGGAGCCTTGTTCTGAACTCGCTGTGCATTTTAGAATCATCTGAGGAGCTTTTAAACAATAACAGTGTCTAGGCCTTATACCTAAAGATACTGATTTAATTGGCCTGGTGGGGTCTGGGCATGAATTCTTTTAAAAAGTTCTCTGAGGTTGATGGGGGGTGGGAGGGAGGAGAGGGTGGGTGATGGGTATTGAGGAGGGCACCTTTTGGGATGAGCACTGGGTGTTGTATGGAAACCAATTTGACAATAAATTTCATATAAAAAAAATAAAAATAAAAATAAATAAATAAATAAAAAGTTCTCTGAGTGAGTCTAAAATATGTGGTAGGGGTGGGGGGGTATGGTGCAAGCTTCTATTATATCTGATATACTTAAAGTATTTAAGGTATGCAGTATAAAGGCAATGTAGGGAGTAGAACAATTATTTCTGGCTTCACAAGAATTGTGAAGATTCTCTATTCTTTTGAATGAAGTGATTGCTATATGATAAAGAATAGAATCCTATTGAATTACTTGTTGGAGAAAAAAAATATATAATTGGATCAACAGCGCACTACCAGCCATGGACCACTGAAATTTACATTGATACATTCTCATTGCTAAATATTCCCAGTTTCTTCAATCTTTTTTACTTTACTACAGTTAGGATTTTATAATAGCCCCCTTCTTATGCCCTGTGTGCAAAATACAAAAAACAATGGTGTATTTTGTCAAATGCTTTGTCTGCATCTATTGAGAGGATCATGTAGTTCTTGTCCTTTCTTTTATTAATGTGATGCATCACATTGATTGTTTTGTGGATATCGAACCAGCCCTGCATCCCAGGTATAAATCCCACTTGGTCGTGGTGAATAATTCTTGTATTGTTGGATCCATTGACTAGTATCTTGTTGAGGATTTTTACATCCATGTTCATCAGGGAAATTGGTCTGTAGTTCTCCTTTTTAGTGGGGTCTTTGTCTGGTTTTGGAATTAAGGTAATGCTGGCTTCATAGAAAGATTTTGGAAGTTTCCTTCCATTTCTATTTTTTGAAACAGATTCAAAAGAATAGGTGTTAAGTCTTCTTTAATTTTTTTTAACGTTTATTTATCTTTGAGACAGAAGGAGACAGAGCATGAATGGGGGAGGGTCAGAGAGAGAGGGAGACACAGAATCCGAAACAGGCTCTAGGCTCTGAGTAGTCAGCACAGAGCCCGACGCGGGGCTCGAACTCACGGACCGTGAGATCATGACCTGAGCCGAAGTCGGACGCTTAACCGACTGAGCCATCCAGGCACCCCTTTTTTTTTAATTTTTTTTTTAACGTTTATTTATTTTTGAGACAGAGAGTAGTCTTCTTTAAATGTTTGGTAGAATTCCCTTGGAAAGCCATCTAGCCCTGGAATCTTGTTTTTTGGGAGATTTTTTATTACTAACTCAATTTCTTTGCTGGTTATGGGTCTGCTCAAATTTTCTATTTCTTCTTGTTTCAGTTTTGGTAGTTTATATGTTTCTAGGAATTTGTCCATTTCTTCCAGATTGCCCAATTTATTGCAGTATAATTGCTCATAATATTCTCTTATTATTGTTTGTATTTCTGTGGTGTTGGTTGTGATCTCTCCTCGTTCATTCTTGATTTTATTTATTTTG